ATGACCAAGATAAATTAAAATAAAATCAAGTTGATTGTCGCTGTCAACCAAGTCAAAAATAAATCTCACAAGACGACAAATGACATTTGAGTAAAAGGTGGTCGTGTCGAAATAACGGTTCCAACCGTTACAACGTCTACCTTCAGGAGAACACGAATGGCGAAGCTGGTTACTGTCACTACTTTACGACCTCCTACAACCACCAGGCCTCCCAGCGATCACCAGGGACGGTACTATTAACCCACGCGTTTAACCACCTCAGCAATATTTGGCCAAGGAAAGACCAAAATCACCACACTCCTGAACAAGAGTGAACCACTTGCGGTCTTCCTTTGGCCAGACTCCGCCTCACAAGTCATGAGAGAAGCAGGCATCAAGTGCTTTGTGGCTCTATGTGGGGGTGACACCGCGAGGGATACTTTGGATGATTTTCTGAGGTATAGGACGTTTGTCACTTTAACGAGCCTAAACCTCGCCCGTTTGCCACCGACGTAAAATGTCGCAAGCCACTTCTCAGGGACTCACCCCCATCCCAACCACCAGAGATCCTGAACCTCCTGCTCTTCTGCGAAAAACTTCATGTAAATGCAAGAAAGGGTGATCTGGGAGGTGCTCGTGCTCAAAGGCTGGGCTCCACTGCTCAGTCCTTTGCCAATCATGCGGTGACAATTTCTGCATTACCGTCCCAAATGTGGAGCTGCATTTGACGTGGTATACGTATATTAGAAGATATTTCACAAAATAAGTGACCATTTCGAAAAAAAATTAACTTTTTGGAAAAAATAGCTTATTTTCGAAGAACTGTATCTTGGGAACCAATGGCTGCATAGAGCTCACCAGAGGTCTCAAATTGTAGTAAAATTAGAATTCTTTAAAAGTATGTAGAGTGACTATATCGGTGAGATATTAAGCAAAAACTAAAAAAATATTTATGGTTTTTTTGGATACACCGCCGCTGGCTTTTGAAAATGCAAATCTGGTTTTTTAATATTGGTTTAGGTCCTAACAACATATTAAAAATTTAGAACGACCGGACCTTTTGTAAGCACGGATGTACATCTTGATTGGCCTAATATAAATGTAAAAAAATTAACCTTATCTAAAATTTCTATTTTGCTAAAAAAAATCATACTCCGATATTTATTTTTAATCAAATATCTACATCCAATTTCTTTTATATAGCTATTCTAGGAAAAATAACATCCACAACGAATTCAATAATGGAATTAATCCAAAATCCAATTTTGTTATGCAAATTTCTCTGCATTCTTTCATATGTAGCAACTTTTTAAAATTGGATTAAACTAGATTTTTATAAAAATTGTTCATTGCATTCGTTTAAGGAAAAATAATACGATGCGGAGATATCAAATATTTTACGATTCAGTCAAATGCTTGCAGAACCGCTGAAATGTGTAGTTATAAATAAGGTTTGTTCGTTTTCTCTTCTTATTCTGTGCTATATTTTTCCCAACAATCTAAGTTTTAATAATTATACCTGTCTTCTGTTTTTGATTTGACTTTATTAACTACACTTTTTTTTGTTGGTATGCCATTCTTTAATGACGCATACGTCCAGTGTTGTTCCGTAAGACACTAATCTATCCTCTTTTAGTTAATTGTCGTTATAGGAAAAAACGTTTTAATAAATAGGTACTAGAACCCAAGAATGAAATTTAAATAACCAATATTTAGTTTTATTTTTCTCTTTGAAGATGACCACATTTATAGTGGCAGAAGGCATTTAATTAATTCCCATTTAATGAAGACGGTTGTATATTATGAATACTATTTATTAAGTGGCATGTACTAAATAGCAACTACATTCATAAATTGAACTAAATCTAGGTGTTTCAAGTTTGTGAGAGTAAAATAAAATTTAAAGATATGTATTACAGAACAGATAATAAATGAAATGAACACAAAATATTATGAAAACTAAAAACCAATGCCTAGACATATTGATTAATATATTATAAGAGATACGATATATTTTTTAAAGTTATTGTAGATAGGTAAAGAGAGTTTTGAAATTGCTTTAAATAATGTTAAATTATATTGGGAGTTATATTTAAAATAACGGTTTTTAATGTTTAAAGCTACTTATAGTAAATATCTACTTCGATAACACCCTGTACAATATTTTTGATCAATAAGTATTTGAAATGTTATACTCTAGGTATAACAAATCCTTAACAAAGCTGCACTATTTTTCTTCGTAGAGTTAAAAAATGCAATAATATATATTGTGTCCAACTTTGATATGTATCACTTTCCTAGAGAACTCTTTAAAAACGGATTAAAAAAAAAAAACAGTGCAAGCACATTTGGATTATAATGGATTAATTTTAAATTTCTCTAGTTACGAGATTTGTTCATATCAGACACTGCTCTAAATGGTAAAAATGACATGTCACGGCACATACCTTTGCAAAAATAAATAATGTTCGGGATAATAACGATGTAAGCCACAAATGGTTAATTCATGGAAAATTAAGTTTTAAATATTTAGGTAAAAGTTTAAATATCTCTGAATTTTGTAGGATTCTAAGAACTTTTTGTTTATAGCTATATCATGCAAATGTTATATTTAAAAAAAAACTTTTATCAAAAAAAAAAACTTTAATTTGAAAAGAATATTTTCATTTTTAGTGAAAAACATGTGGCTTGTAACCTTATTCCACTAAAAGTCGTAACTGAGCCTGTGGCATATATCATTGTTCTAACAAAAATATATATAATATTTACTACAAAAAAAACAGATACTCTTATAAAAGAAATATTTATTTTCGGTAGAAATAAATACAAAATGCTTGATATACAGTGTGGAAACCACTTATGGAATAAAATTCTTTATGTCATTATTTTAGAAAATTATAAAAAATGCCGAGACATGTCAACTTTTGAATTGAGTTGTGCGTTATGTAAACATAAATTTAAATGTACAGGGTGATTCACGCAAGTATGCCATAGTCGGTGTTGTTTTTTTTTTAATGAAATACCTGTATATTTGCATATTTTTGAAATCCTCTTAATGAACCGATTCCAACAAACTGAATAATGTATGGTCAATTATGAATTATACAGGGTGAAATTTTTATTTTGACAGTTAAACACATACATAAAATACCTGATGTATTTGATTTTAATACATTAAAATAAATGCTCAAAATGTCCTCCACCTAGTTGTTGGCAATAGCACAGTCTCCTGTAGAACTCCTCCTTAACTTTGTTTAAAGTTTGAGGTGAAATATTCCGTATTTCTGTAGTTATCCTGTCTTTGAGGTCTACAATGCTAGTTGGTTGTGTTGCATATACTTTGTTCTTGAGATAACCCCACAGAAAAAAATCTAACGGCGTAAGGTCTGGCGATCTAGCTGGCCACTCAATAGTACCTCTTCGTCCAATCCATTTATTGGGGAAGATTTCATCTAAATAAGTTCTTACCATTAAAGCATAATGAGGTGTTGCCCCGTCTTGCTGGAACCAAACATTTTCATTCGGTAAGCTAGGATCTATTGCGTTGGGATATAAGTTTGCCAACGCAGGAATAACTTCATTTCTAAGCATATTTGAATATTTTTCAGCTTTCAAATTTCCATCTATAAATATAGGACCAATAATATGGTCGCCTATGATACCGGCCCAAACGTTCACCTTTTGAGGGTACTGAGTATGTGTCTCATGCATCCAATTAGGATTCTCTGCTGACTAATATCTACAATTCTGTCGGTTTACCTCTCCATTCAATGTGAATGTTGATTCGTCAGAAAAAAGAATGGTACCAAGAGCTATCTCATTTCTGTTCAGCTTATTCATCAATCTTTCGCAGAAATCCATTCTACGATCTGGATCGTCTTCTGTTAACTCCTGCACAAAAGTTAATTTGTAGGGATGAAGTTTTTCTTTATGAAGACATCTTAGAACAGTTGTATGACTAACATTATTTTCACGGGCAATTTGACGTGTACTTGAAGTTGGATTCTCTTCGACACTTAACAAAATATCCACTTTCACATCATCTTCAACGAAGTGTGGTTTTCTTTTCAATGGTTTGACATCTCCAAGTTCTCTGAATTGTGCATGAATTTTAGACACAGTACTTTGTGAAATATTAGGCAATTCGGGATACCTGTGATTAAATAAGTTTGCCACTTCAACTTGACTTCTGCAGTTATCCCCGTACCCGATCATCATTAAAATCTCAATTCGGTGAGTCTCAGTTAAATATTTCATTGTTATGTCGACAAGGAAAGAGTGTTTGACAAAGATTTTACTTTTTCAGTATAAACTCTTAACACATCAACAACTGACAGAATAGAAAACAATCCACATTATTTACCGATTTTGTCTAATTATTGGCGTTTTTAGGCAATTTTTAGGTATTTATGATAAAATTCATGGGCAGGTTTTGTTTAATTGTACAAATACGTCTAATAATTAGTTAGTTTAGATTTTTGATAAATCCATATTTAGCTAATTTAAAAAAGTACCAATATTTCAAGTGTAATAAATTATTAATTTTAAAATTTCACCCTGTATAATTCATAATTGACCATACATTATTCAGTTTGTTGGAATCGGTTCATTAAGAGGATTTCAAAAATATGCAAATATACAGGGTGTTTCATTAAAAAAAAACAACACCGACTATGGCATACTTGCGTGAATCACCCTGTACATTTAAATTTATGTTTACATAACGCACAACTCAATTCAAAAGTTGATGTGTCTCGGCATTTTTTACAATTTTCTAAAATAATGACATAAAGAATTTTATTCCATAGGTGGTTTCCACACTGTATAAAAAAGCATTATCCGATAAATCCATATTATTAAATCCTTTAAGATTTTTATGAAAATTTTGATATACATGAGGTATAAAAGGCAATAATTGCACTAAATTGGACAGTTTTTACCATTCATCTGTATGGATTCGTCATATTTAGGTTCTAGTTGCAATTGCATAATGTTTTGGAATGACCTTTGCCCCCTTTTACCTTTATTAACTGCACGGAATTCTTCATTGAACAGATGTTTTACAAACATAGTATTTGGAAATTCACTATCAAAACGAAAACATCTTACACTAGAAAATTTCAGTAATTGCTTGTCGTCGCATATGTTTTTTTGAAATGTTGTTGAGAAGGCTCCTAAACGGAAAAAAAATCATTTTCTTTCATTTCATATTCTTCAAAAGGGTTTGTTCGTTTTGATTTTTTTACTGCATCATACCATTGTTCAGGCACAAAAACTTGCTGCATTTTTTTTTGTACTTTTCTATGGTTGCAAAGTCTCGATCTGACGGCAAATGAGTATGACCAGCTGTCGTAAAGCGATGTTCAATTTTTTTGTACACTTTTGATCGCACGAGATTTAGCCAGAAAGCCATTACCAACCAATTTTTGTTCTGGCCTCCGCAGTTATCGCTGTAAACGAAGAGTTCTTCGGAGGTTGGTTGGTGGTTCTTGAAATGTTTTAGAAGCATGCTACATATCTCATCACTTCCTCTTTTTGCTATGTTTTCGCTCCACATATACATATACCCTTTATTGTTTACACAATCGTGTATCCCAAAATTATATTTCCATAGTTTACGGAGATAAAAAGCTGGACCGGCAGTTAAATTTGGAGTGGGTAGTGCCTGTTGGAGATTAAACGTAAGGACATCTGCAGATCCCGCCTGTTGAACAACTTTCAAGCTGTTTTGCATAGCACTGACCCTTCTTTGATGTAACTCAAGTTCAAGCTTAAATTTTGCCTGCTCAGTTTCATTATCTTTGTTTCCATCAATTTGAATATGCAAAGAATCGCAATCTTTGCATGTATCACTTCTGGGAAATTTAAACCCAATATTAAATTCAGTACAAAATATTATTCCATACTTCGGTAGCAGGTGATAGCTGCTTGTCTCTACAAAATTGTAAATAATAGTCCTTGTATAGTCTGGATATATTCAAATCATAATCCAAATAGACCCTTGTTGGATTATCTTGTCGGCTATAGTGGCTGGTATATTTTGGTAGCAAGTTAATGTGATCCCTCACTGTCTGGATAGTTTCATCTGGGATCTTGTTCGGTCTGTTTAAATGCTTTCCTCGTTGGTCTCTTCGAGGGGTACTTTTATGACACAGCAACTGGATTCGTTTTTGCGATTTTTGTAACCCGTGTACTGCCAAAAAGTCTGCCAAACAGTTATATCTTCACCATTAACTTTGATGTGGTACAAAATTGTACACTTTCTGCCAGATACTTCTTTTTTAGTTTTTTTTTCTGTATCTTCTTTTGGGATGGGTTGACCTCATAGAAGAAAAAAGATACGCATTTTGAAGGTCATAGTTACCCATATTCCAAAACGAGTGGAATATTTCTTCTTCTTTTCCTTGTAACTTTTGTCGGCAGTTTTTCTTGCATCGACATGGTGATCCCAGTTTTCTGTTTTCTATTTCGTTTCCTTTTTTGTTGATGTATGATAGACCTAGGTCTCTTTTTCGCTTTCTTTTAATATTTTTTCTCGATTCTACGTTTACACTTCTCCAGCGTGAGTTGGAATTTGATTTTTCAGAACTGGGTATTACAGATCGCTGAACTGGCGGAAAATTTCTCACCTGAAAAATAGTATATTACATTACGAGTGTGGAAAGTGACATTTTTCACACGAGTGGGAAATAATGTCGCACGAGGCACAAGCCGAGTGCGACTATCACATGAGTGTGGAAATTCACTTTTCACACAAGTGATGTACAATAGTTTTCCTACGACCACAAAATAATTTCATCAAAAAATGTAAAACCAGGTTATTATAATAATTAAAATGTATTTAAAAAAATAATCAACAATAATTGTATTTATTCTATTTTCATATTTTTTGAAACAAAAATAAAAAAAAACAAAAAAAAAACAAAACAAAAATTTTGCAACCACCAAGTTTTGAACGCAGACCCGTCGTGTAAGCCAAAGTTCAAATTGCAACTACCCTACAACCTGAGCTAATGGGTCTTATGTCAAATGCATTTTTAATTCGATTTTAAGTTTAAACAAAATAAAAAGCCAAAATAATGAGATGTATGTAGTTATTTTAAAATTATTTTAATAATTGTTAAACATAAATATCTAGGATCTAAGTTAATTGTCAATTTTAATAATTTAATCATCATATCGATTTTACTATTAATATGGACATTACATAAATCAAAATGAAAATAATGCATTTGACATTACGTGACAGCTGATGTGGAAAGTAGCTTATTCGCACACGGGTGGAAAGTAAATTCTTATTCATACGCGTGTGATATAGGACACTTTTCATAGGACTATATAGTGTTATATGTGTCACTTTCCTAAGTGGTCGTAGGAAAAGTATATATTTTATTTTAATAAAAAAGGTATAAGCCACAACAAGTTTTATAGTATTTGGGTTATGTTGGTATTTAAGCTCAAAAAAAATGTAGATAATGTAGGTATTATGTTAATTTAGCTGAAAATCAATATTTTATGCAAACTTTACCGTAATCAAATTTCTAGAAACAATTTGTTCTTTTTAAACTAGTAGAAACAGAACATAAACTATTTTGCAGTAAAAAGTGTATAAGCCATATTTTTGTTTACTTACCAATATCTCAGAATCTGAGCTATTTCCCGTATCACCATCAGTTACAACATAGTCTCTTTCCTGCAAGCTATCATCTGAATCAAAATCCACATCGCTTAAATCACTATCTTCATCAGAAACAACACTATTACTACCAGAGCTTCCATCCCTGTAAGCCGCCATGTTGAAAATACTGTGGCTTGTACCCTTATAACTGAAAGGTTTGTTCCAACAACGATCTTGGAACAATACATGAACCAGTCCAAAACTTATTGTTGACAATCTGTAGATGACTAGTAATTGACAACTTGTCAGGTACTGGTCGGGGATTGGGACTCAACTCGGAAGTCGATTATGTTGGAACACATATTTCAAATTCAACAGATGCATTATTACAATAATAAACCACAAAATAAAATAAATGATCATGAACAAAAACTAAAAAGATTAAACTCGATTAACAAATACAAATCAGAACTGTCAGAGACAATAGTTACAAATAATATAATTACAATCATGATATGTTCAGTTTATTGCGGCTTTGCGCATGTCTTGACAATTCGTTCCTATTCAGACCCAGGAACTGATTTGACAGTACACAAATCGGTTTGTGATTAGTTTTGGTTGTGTTGGAACACTATGTATTTGTACAGTTTCGAGTCTAAGGTTTGTTGGAACACAAATTCTAGACTGCGCAGAATCCCGACAGCACGCAAACTGATTTGGTTTATGTTGGAACAAACCTGAAATTATCGCCGTGATTTATTTTTATGCAACAAGAATATTTTGCTGTTATGGCGCCATCTATTTGTTGATCTCGCAAATTATTTCTGCGGTGGCTTATACCTTTAATGCAACATAAAAGGTCATATCAACTCAAAAAATGAAACAATGTGGCTTACATCCTTATTATCCCGACCCCTTCAATTATATTAATTAATATTAAACATTTCAATGACCTGTCAAACAATACCCGGTATGGAGTAGCTCGTATATCTAAAGGGGTTGCGAGATAGTCTTCTATTTTTATTCAAAATAGTAGTCGCCAAGCCAACCAATATATGAAAAAAATGTATAAGCGGTTTTATAAAAATAATATTTTCATTGTGTTCGACAAAAAATATTTAAATTTAATTAATTATTCATATTTTCATGTGTTGTGTAGATAGACTTCATCGTATGTCGCAAGCCCTTAGGTATACCATTCCTATCCTCTGACAGTTTGTTTGTATTAGTCATTTCAAACAAACGAAACGCGGTGCTAAGGTTTGGTATGTCTAAAGGGTTGCAACATACTATGTAGTCTATCTACAATACAAGTTAGGTAAATCTCCCTCGTCTATTTTATATGCTCCTAGGTATAATGCCCTTGGATTCTCGAGTGCTACACATTCAGACAGATTGTGAATGGAGGTTTCGTCCTCCTCCTCACAGAATCTGCAGTCACTATCTTCTTCTACTACTCTCAATTTATCCTCGGCCTAAATCAACTACTTTATTATCTTAATTAAATTACCGTTTATATTGTCAAATAGAAGTTTTGCATCGAGTTATAATTTCAATCAATTGCGTAGCTAGTTCCTGACTCCCAATAGACGTTCTAATCCATTCGTGCGACACAAAATGCCCTAAGAAATATATTTTACAGAATACAACCTTTTTAATTTAAAATCCTTAATGGTTTCTCCTCGGTTTGTATTAACTTCGCCTCATAACGAAGATCTAAGAGATCATCTCTGCAAATAAATTACTTTTTGTGAAATTGGGCCAGAATTCCTTTTTGTTAATTTTACTTGATATTTTTCCTAATTATGTGCTATTGAATTAAGAAGTAATTTTCTTTGATAATCCATGTTCTTAGGTTCTTTTGTTATGTCTCTTATACATTGTCTGGCTTCTAGCACTACAAGCTTAGACTTTTATATTAATTTATAATGGCTTTTTACTTGGAATAATTTTAAAATTATACAGGGTGCTGCACACAAACCGATGGGAACTAAAGGGAATTAAAATTTTCGTTATATATGTACTGTGTACTGTGAATATTGCCAAAATGATGCTTTATATAGCTGTTTAAAAACAACGAGACATACATAAAGAAAGTCATTAACTGGAAAAAAATTTACTCAAAAAATTTATGTATCAAAAAGAAATTAAGAAAGGCTCATTTGAACTCCGAAAAATTTGATTTCGTCAGACAAAAATATACAGCTTTACCTATTTTAACATTTTCATTTTTTTTGTCTTTATTTTACTCTTTTTTGTCTTTATTTTACTCTTTTTTTGTCTTTATTTTACTCTTTTTTATTCCTTTTTAATCGACTTCAAAAAAGGAGGAGGTTCTCAATTCGTCGCAATATTTTTTTTTATGTATGTATGTTCAGCGATAATTCTTTAACACGGTGTCCGATTTCAATGATTCTTTTTTTGTTAGAAAGCGAGTACTTCAGGGGTGGTCCCATATTAAATTGGTCAAAATCTAATAATTGGTTTCATAAGAAAATCCTCAAACTCTTCATTTTTCATGTATGTTTAGTGATAATTCTTTACCACCTTGTCCGATTTCTATGATTCTTTTTTTTTTTTTTGTTAATAAGGGAGTACCTCAGGGGTGGTCTCAACTAACTTTGGTCAAAATCTATTAATTGGGTCCTTGAGAAAATCCTTAAACTCTTCATTTTTTATGAATGTTTAGCGATAATTCTTTACCACCTTTTCCGATTTGTACGGTTATTTTTTTGTTATACAGGGGATACCTCAAGGGTAGTTCCATATACAGTTGGTCAAGATCTGATGATTTATGATAAAATCTAAAATCTCAATTTTTAAGAGCATCCGCACGATTTTGAAGTCGGTGTTTTAATTAAAAAATTATTGTTTAAATTAATGCAATCTTAGCATTTGAAAATAAAGAAAATACTATCTAGGATCTACCTTGTAATAGTTATACGAACATAAAAGCCTTAATAAATCCTACTACATCAGTCACAAATTAATTCTAAAATATGGAAAAAATATTAAAAAACTTATTATTATAGACATTAACACAGAAATTGATTTTTAAAATAATGAATGAAAGTGTAAATAATATAATCATGAAAAAGCATTGATTTTACCAAAGTTATTTTCAACAGTATTGTAAATGAACTTTTAGACCTTTATAAATAGCATGAATATTACCTACCTACCTACATGTTCCGTTTTCATCCATTTTAATAAAGCAGAATTTACATACAATTTTTAGTCGCTCATTTATTTGATTAAAGTTGACACTTTTATGTTAGCTAAAACAAATGCGAATAGTAATTAAAATATAGACCAACATTAAATACTTATTGGCGCATCGTTTGAACAGACATTTACCTGATTGTGAGCAGTCAAAAGCAGCCAGCAAGACAGTTTATTTAACAACAATGAAATAATCAAATAGTTAATCTTTCCTTAATGGAGATAAGTAGAATGAACCAGCAATTCATGATTTTTATGGTTTTATTAATCCCAATATTAGATTTAGCAGAGCCAATATTAGATAATTCAATCTGTAGATAAGATGAAGGTTTTGTAAACATCTGTATTTACGTGTACCGATATGGCATCATTGTAAAAATTACAATGTACAAATTACTTTGTAAACAATGCAACTCACTTCCAATGTTATAACTTCTGTTGTTGAAATCAAATTCATAAACGAAATTGAATACATAGTAATTTTATAAAAGGAGATAAAAATTGTATTGATATATACTTGCTATACCCTATAGGCCACCGAAAACTCTCCAGTTAGGTTTCTTTCGTATTGATGCGAAAACAAAAAAACGCTCGTACAAGTCGATTTTAGTTTGGAGAGAACACTTATTTCTAATTGCAGGGTTAAAGTGCCGATTTAACCCTCTAGCAGTAAGGAAACTACTACGGGTAACACATCATTAAGAAGATAATTTGATAAAGAATTGGACAATAAGACTATTCATTGCGTTATTATGTCGGGACGGTGGTGTAGCGGTCTATCGCGCTTATATTCATTTATAGGCAAGTTTATGAGTCTGAGGCTGCTGGGTTTCGAATCCCAGACCGGACCATGTGGATTTTTAATTAAATTGCATGGTTCGGTTTAGGATTTGATGTGTGGCGTATTAATAGAAATTAAATTTCTGTTTATATGACATGCAGATTAAAAAAATTCGCCATACATTACCGTCTCGATGATGGTGGGTGAGGTTTTTTACGGGTTTTCCTCACCTGTAAGTCAAATAGCACCATCAATCATCTTTAAGTTGCCCCGGAGCGCCACGGCAAATAATAATAATAGCCGTCCCTTCCCCTACACAAGTCGTTCAGTCGACTTCAGGGGTTGAAATTCACTCGTAAGGGGGTGAATTAGGGAGAGTATTATTAATATTATTATTATTATTATTATATTATGTTGGGAATGTGGTCTGCTACCTAAAAAATATATTATGTCCCCTTCTATTGCTAATGCAGCAAGGAAATATCTTGATGTCTATAACGACCCTTCCAAACCCATTTACTCAAGGGATGGTAGGATTTGGAGTGGCTTTAAGTTAGGTAAATCTCCCCTTTCTATTTTTTGATATGCTCCCAGGTATAGTACCCTGATTACGTAAGATCTCAGCGCTTTGATGACTGCTTGGCTATCGGACATGATGATAATCTCTTGTCTAGGATAGTTTCTCTCGATGTTAAACTGTATACACTTTCAGAGTGTTTGATTCTAGGACCATAAATAAATATTCCAGTTCCTTCTATGAAACCATCCATATACTACTAAAATAGCATGTCTTTCGGTTGCAAGCGTTACGAATTCGTGGCTCCATTGTTTCTTGCAGCCCAGCTCTATTATTTTGAACATTTTTTGAGTTTTGTTTTTCTTGAAAAGACCACTACTGTAGTTTTCGTGGAGCTTGTACTAAGTCCCACGTCACGGCACCATCTTTTTGTGTGTTCTATATCACATAGGATATTTTCAAACTTGCCTGTAGCAAATATGACTATGTCGTCGGCATAACCTTGACTGGGTATGCTGAAGTCAGATACTGCATAGAAGTTCGTCTACGGTCAGGCTCCACATTAGCGGGGATAGGACTCCTCCTTGTGAACATCCTCTGGTTGTGCCGAGATGGTATCCTGTCCTATCTGTGTCTGCAGTTCTCGTAGATAGCAGCTGAGCCATCCATTTGGATGTAGTGCTATATACTCCTTTTAACAGACTCGTGTGGCGTGTGGTCAAATGCTCCTTCTGTCAAGGGAAGGCACACACGACCGTTTCTTTGTTTGCCATTCTGGATTACGTCAGTCAGCTGTACCAGAGCAGTTTCTGAAGATCTTCCTGCACGGTACGCGTGCTGGCTGTGGTGAAGTGGCACCCTTTTCAGAATTTTTGTTCTGATATAATTATCAACAGCCTTCTTTATTGTTTTTAATACAAAGCATGGAAGGATTTAGGATGCGTTGCATCCTTTTTCCATACTTTTGGAATAAAGGTGACTCTGGCCCTTTTTCAAGATTTTGTTATGTATCAAGGTTCCAGACTGCTCCGGGATATCCAGATTATGTGTGGTAGTAATTCCTCCTGTGTCCGCTGAAGCAGGGAAAATAATATTCCATCCAAACCTGGAGACATAAACGGTTTAAAAGTGTTAATGGCCCACTTTCGATTACTGCTGCATATGTGTTTGGCCACTACAGAGGCCTCTCTTGAGAGATTGCTTACCTTGGTTGTGTCCTTTATTAGAAAATATGTGCTCCCAGGAAAGTGATTTCAAGTAAGAGGAAGGCTTTTTCCTCCTCACTCTCCGTGAAGCTTTCATTTGGTTTCTTTAACGCCATAACTGTATCAACTCTTCCTTTTGCCAGGGCCTTGTGCAGTTTCGCTACCGCAGGTGTAGAATTAATCTTGCAGAATTTTCTGAAGCTGTTACGTTTATCTTTCCTGATTTCTTTGTTGTAGGTGGTAAGTTCTTGACCCTATTATAGAGCTTCTGCACTTTGGATCGTAAGTTTGTCAGATGACGGTTATACCAAGGAGCATCCCTACTAGTTCTATTTGTTTGAATGAGACAACTTGATTCATATACCACTAAAAGAAACATGCTTATCTATACAGATAGCAGACAAGAACTACTCACTCTGGACAGACCACTAATTTATTCAGGGTTAGTACTAGAATGTCACGAAACTTTGGCCGAAGTATCCATCAACAGTGAGATCAATTTAAGATGGATCGTAGGTCACTACACATCGAAAGGTAATCGCCTTGCTGATTCACTTGCCTGAAAGGCAGCCAACCAAATACTTTTTGGACCTCTCCCCTCTATTGGACTGACAACATCGGTAATGACAAAACTATTTAAAGAACATTCCCTTGTGAAATTCGAGTAAATGGGATGAAACAAGAAGCAGCAGACTTGCCAGGGAGATTTTAAGTTATTCTGACAACACTACAGCAAACAAATACAATACAAATACTATGACCAGACAGAATCTGCGCCTGATCATAGGCATTCTGGCTGGATATTGCCAACTATGGAAGCATCTCCATATCATAGGACTCACAGAATTTGCACTCTGCTGGGGATGCGAACAAGAAGATGAGACTATCGAGCATATCCTCTAACATTGCCCGACGCTCTCATTTATTAAAAGATTTGTGATCGGCGAGAATTGGCTAACACCGGCCGATATAAGAGAAGCACCTCTTGGCGACTTTGTCAAATACATTTAATCTGTAGGCTGGCTCACGAGCTAGGAGGTGCCTATCTACTTAAGAGGATACACAATGGGCCTACTGAGGCCTAAGTGTCATGGGTTAACCCACCCTCCATACGTATTGCCTCATTTAGTTCTTCGATATTGCTTTGTAGAGCAAGTGGGTGCTTGGGCTCCTTCTTGATACGTGCTAAATTTTATGTTAGAATGGTGTTGTATTTATCCTAATCTGTTTTCTAGGATTTCTCCTGAGGATCGTTTCAGGAGTGTAGCATAATTGTTCTGGCCTTGAATCATCTGCGATTAATTATCATTCCTTATTGATCACTCATAAACCAGAGTGTTATGATATACACTCATCTTCATTTCCTTCTTTTAATAAAACATACATTTCTGTGGCTTATTTTGCGAGTTTAACTAGTAATTTTACATTGACGCGTTGTTCTTCTTGGACGTGTTGCCATCTTTAAACACATAAACATATTTCCGACAGAGCAAGATGCACATATATCATCGTGGTATATATATGTTAAGGAGCCACAGTAAGATGTTCTCAAAATATTAAACGTTTAAGACTGAAATAGTATATTATGCAACGATCATGTAATGATGGTTATTAATACACGAGCATTAACCGGGATACGAAACGAGCCAAAGGCGAGTTTCGTATGGTTTATGCGAGTGTTTTAATAACCATTACATGAGAGTTGCATACGCTATTTTTTCTACACCCGATAAATAATCAAGACCTATAAATATTCTATTTATATTGGTATTGAACACAATAACAGTAATTACTCGTATTTCTATAAAAAATTCTACAAAATTGTAATTAATGGTATTACCTTGGGTACTGGTATTACCACAGATTTTTGGGGCAAAATATTTTGTACTGCATTTTCTCCTTTCTCCTATATGTGTGGAGGAGTGTTCTATATCGCTGATATCAGACATTTTAATATTATAATTATCGAAGTTTAGCTATCTACGAAAATTTAATACGTTTTGACAACTAAAACAATTACATAGGAATTTAGGACAAACGTCAAACATCATGCTTGATTGAAAAATTGTAGGTTTCTATTGATTAAAAATCTGTATCATAATGAAAAATCTGTATCATAATGGGTATCATTATGAAACGGATTATGGGCATATAAGTGCATTATTATAATACGGGTGTAGAAAAACATACTTATTTTACTTGCACAGCACATTGTTAGTAAAAATTAAGGTAAGGTACACAAATCGTCTCCTACTTAAAAGTGATATGCCAAGCTACATCGTGGTCAGAGGCTACATAATTATAGAAAAAGTATGTTCTTCTTTTCTATATAATGGCCCGTAACGCCGAAATTATCTTGCATCTTTGATCCGTCGATTATCAGAGTTCCTTTTTTGCGGAAACTACTTTTTACTTAAACTTGTCGATACAAAAAAAATTCAAATACATGAGGGCTGGCAACCCTGGTCGAGAGACA